TTTGTAAAAATGAAAAATAAACTTTAAATTTCAGTAACAGCTATATAAATTGTAATTTACCCTGTATAGCCTGATATTTAATTACAATAACCATTGTATGTTAAACCAATTTCAAATTTGACTCTAAACGTTATACAGGGTGAGACAAAAATAATACTGAACATTGGTTACTTTTAAAAGCAAGTTATTCCGTTATTTTAAATGGAACACCCAGTATATTATTTTGGTGTTCAATGGAGAATTCTTATATCTTCTAAATATTATTAAGGTTACCTACCTCTCAAACAAAGATTTTCTTAGATATTTTCATTTTTATGATTTTGCGTCAGTAGACATTTATTATTTGAAAAAATCTAGATGGCTGTGTTAATTTAACAAAAATTGAAGAATGTAGGGTAAAGTACTGAATAAAAATATACGTTTAAAACATATTTTAATTATCACAGAATTAAAATTATGTATAAACCTATAATTATGTGACAAAAATTAGCTAGATGAAATCAAATGCTCAAAATGCTTCCTTTCCTGTTAATTGCATAAAATTATTCTCTTTTCAAAAGGATCTTTTCATTTTAAAAGACATATGTGGAGTTCTACCTCGAAAAGCAGCTACAATAATGTCTCTCGTGTTATCGACAATAGTTGGTCAAGTTTTTTAAACACTGTCTTTAACATATCCCCATAAAAAAACCCAGACTAGATAAAATCAGGAGCATTTAGGTATTCTACTCGGTATTCTATTAATTGGTGAATGCATTCACCAACTAATAGAATCATATCAACTCTCTCTAATGTAGGGTAAGTTTGCATTTTCGGAAAATCTTTGAGATTTCATCGCACAAAATGATAACTAGTTGCTAAAGCTGAACTAATTAGATAGATATGTAGAAGTAACGTCAGACATATCACAGCCACTATATTTTATCAAATAATATATATCTACTTACACTAAATCATAAAAATAAAAATATCTAGGAAAATCTTTGTTTGAGGGGTAGGCGACCTTAATAGTATTTTGAAGAGACATGAATTCCCCATTAAATATCGGAATAATATACTGGGTGTTCCATTTAAATTAATTTAGTTTAGTTTTTAAAGCAATGAGTTCAAGTACGGACGAAAGCGTATTTTTTCTCTTTTTGCTCTTCTAACAGAGGAAGAGCGGAAGAACAGGTGAAGAAGAAAAGGAAAGTTTTGACTCATAAGATTAACAAAAAAAGAAAGAAGTTTGGAATTTTACCATCTTTTTCCTGATTTAATAAAAGACAAGAGCATTTTTTCAGTATTATAAAATATAAAGGAAACATTTTACGAACTCCTCAATTGAGTGTTTTAGAAGCAAAACACCGGGTAGGTTGTACTCATCATATTTTTTCAGAAGAGACAAATTTCTAATAATGCAATAATGAATCGCTTATAGCTGGCGACTTTTGATAATTCTTATTTATTCTGATGTGTATATTAGTTATGTGATGAAAAAACCCAATTTTTTATATATTTAGGAAATTGGAATTTAAAAATTGGAGATTTTCACTTCTGTCAAAAGTGGAGATTGCCGGTTTTGCTTCTACACCCCTCAATTATATTAAATCATTGATAGAAAAACATTTCGTCCATCTGTCTCTACTAAGGGAATACTGAAAAAAATATCATATTCCTTTATGAAAATCTGTTTGCCTACAATTCTACCATTGATACGTATCACTAGTTTCTAGTCAAAAAGCCAACTGAAGAGACTCGAGATGCATAATTATTTCCGCTGTGAGTACGCACACTGCCACGCGTCAAAACGTGGGAGAAGGAAAAAAGTTGCTAGAGAAGTCTTCCGACTTCTTGACGGAAATTCCGCGGCGCGCTTCGGCGCTGCGCGCTCTAATGAGCGTTGGTCCATTTAAATACATTGCAAGCAAACAAAAGAAATTTCCACATGGCGCCGCGTCGCGCCTCGGTCTAGTGGGCGACAACCTCAATGCCACATGTGCGGTCGCGGCGTTATAGTCGGTCTAACCCGTGCCTACAGAATGTATAAACTCTGCAGGGCAATAAGTTGTTAAATCCTATGATATATGCCTAGTAAAAATCTAGAATACGCAGAAAGAACCTGATAACCACCAGCCCAGTACTCTCCTGTAGAATTAGTAAAATGGCGCTTAACATGTTTTTCCCCTGGACTCTTCTAATGGAATAGAATATTACCCAAACATATACCCAGTGAGCATTTTATTCCTTCGAGGGAAATGTGTTCTAGGTGACGTCGTTGTTATGTTACTAGGCCCTTCTTTTGCGTTAAATAGCACACAAAAATAAAGTGACGTGCCCTAAGCTGGCTTAAAAAAGGAATAATGTGTACTATTACACAAAAAAGGAATTGCGTTGATACAAAAGGAACTGTTAACCGAATGCAAATAATAACTGATATTTAGATGGAATGGTGTTAAAACAATACCGTATCTGTGTCTGTGCCTTTAAAAGACACAAAACCATTATTATGGAATGCGTAATCACAGTTTATGTATTTCAGATGCAGCACTTTTTTCATTTTGCTGGTAAACGACGTCATGGCCTCGGACCGCCTCGGGCCTTTAACACGAGTATTGACGTTGTCAGACCTCGTTTTTTTTTTCTCGAATGCTGTTCAAAATCGATTTGAACCGCAAATGTTTTAGTACTGTCTATTTGGGGCCATCTGTTTCACAGAACTACAAAAATTGTCGGGTCGTAAAAAATGCTCTTTTTGTGTCAACTTTCTAGGAGCTTAAGGGCGACAAAGACACTTCTCTCTGAACATCGGCCTAAGTTGCCACGCACTAATTTTTGTATAATTAAGTTCGCGCTAGAGACGCGGCTCTCTCTCTCTCTCTTTTCTCTTTCACTCTTCACTCTATCGCATTGTCTCCGCATAGTTTTTCTCTCTAGTAGTTAAACAGAGAAATATTTGCTCTCTCCCTTATTTAGTTAACAACAATAAGTACCTTCTTGTTTAGTTAGTAACTCTTCTAAGTTTAGTTAGTAAGTCTTCTGAGTGTTCTTCAGTATTGTGAGTGACGTGTTGTGAAAGGTGCCAGAAAAACAATAGCAACTAGGAACTGGTAACAAACAATTATTGACTTTGATTATTTTGACTTGGCAGTAAAGGCTTCATAGACTATATAATTGCCTTGAAAACTAAGACTATTAACTTCTTCTACTAAGTGTTCTTCGCATTTGCTGCAGAGAAACCTTGACCATTTTTTACTACTTATTTTAATTAAATAGTGTTTAGTATTTAACCGTAAATGTTTATTTCATTTCAAACTGAATCCACCCTATTTTATAAGCGTTCGCAACAAGTGCAATCGCTGTAATTGTAGTGCAAGTTTCGCAGAAAACTGCTACAAATGCATTGTTGCCTTTTGTATAAAATTATTCCTAATTGAAATTGGGAATGCATTTTTTTAGATTTTTGTCATATTTTAAATTTTTATAAGGAAGTACCAATTCGCAGGGGACAATATTTCTTTATATTGTCACTTGGTAAAAGCGTAAACATGAAGGAACAAAACAGGTATTAGTTTAAAAATTATAAAAGTAAGATTGGTTGACGAAGATTTTTTATAATATTTATACTAAAAAACAACCAACTGATCAGATAATAGTCTTTTTATACAGTAGGTAGAAAATGTAAATTAATCAGCCTGTAGTAATAATTTCTGATACAGGAGTAAAATAAATGGAAGCTATGTCATCACACAACTTAGCATCATTGTGTGATGTCATCACACAACTTAGCAAACTACAAATTAAGACAAATTTCCAACATTTTTCATGTTTCTTTACATTTTTTGCATTCTATAGTAAACAGGCAGAAAATTTGTAGAAAATCTAGGTCTACCAATCATAAAAATGTAGTTAAGTAGGTACTTACGGTGTTTCGTCCTTTGGCACTCCAAACAATTTTACTCCACAGAACACATTTGAACTCCGAGAAAAAAAGGATAATCGTGGCATATTTCTATTTATCCGGTCGCACGATCGCACAGCTGTTGTGTTGGAGCCATTGATCATTCGATGCGCTTTGAATTCGGTCCTTTTAAATCGATTGTTTGTTACCAAACCGTTTGTGTATTAGTTCACACATGCATTGACAGAATTCCGAATTTTTGCCTAAAATACGCCTTTCACCGTGCTTCACTTCGCATGTATACTGAGTACATAAAAGTAACAGTTTCGAAACATGTGTGTGCAATTGGTCGCATGAATAAAACGCAGATACGTAACAGTTCCTTAAATGTGACAAAATATTGTTCACTGGGTACTGGGTATAGAACTAAACAACTATAAATTGAAAAAAAAAGTGATATTTATAACCATATGTTTATAATATCGTCGGTCTAGAAGCAAAACACGGAAACGATTGGCGAGTATGTCACCGCAAGACACACTCCGCCGGTAATAGGTCGGTAATAACGGTAGTAGGCCGAGCTTGGAGAACAGTGTAACGGTAAAATAGTTGCGTGATTTTATTAAATTTTTATTATTTTTCTCCTTAATTTTTTAATTTTTATAAAGATTATGTCTCATTTACGTGGAAAAACGTTGAAAAAAATAAAACTGATTAGGTATTTTGGAAATTTTTGTACAAGTAAGTAATGTTAATGTAAGTAATTGCTCGTATATAGAGAATTTTTAGTTTCTCCCCTTACCTTTTACGGATACCCCGTATTTAGAGATCGACGTATTATACTAAAGAAACATAGAAGTAAAGAATCGACCTGTTTTCTTTAGCGTGATCGTAACGGAAATTACGGAGATAGCAGCATTTCGGCTATCGGCGGCTATTTCAGATCACTTGGAATTAGCAAATAACGAGTTAAAATAACAATTTTTCTGTAATTGTCAATAATTTAGCTGCTTTCCATACTTATAGAGTATTTTTCCCCTTTCCAACGGTATAAAAACTTATTAACGAAAAAAATGGAGTTAGCAGGTTATCACGTTTCACTGACATTATATTATTTTAGGCTGGTATTCTTGAAGGACTAGTGGCTATAAAACATAAGAAATTGCAATCTTTAAGTACACAACAACTTATCGATTGTACTGCAGGATATGAAGAATTAAAAGGAGGTTATGTAATAGAAGGTTTGCGATATGCTGAGGAACATGGATTGTTAACTGATAATGACTATCCATATAAGGGGCCTAAATCACGCTGTAAATCAGATGCCAAAACAAACAAAAAAAGGGTATTTCCGGTAGATTACCACATAGCACGTAATATTTCTGTTGAGAAATTAAAATCGTTGGTGCGAGAAATAGGTAGGTATTTATCTATGCATTTTTTGTATGCATAACATTGCATACGAAATAATAATAATAATCTTTTGTACATAAAATATGTTCAGTTATGCCAAAGAGGCATTTTTAAAAATTACATATACCTTGGTAATGTAATGTTGTTGTTTTATTAAGTTGTCTAAATATATATTATCGTATCAAAAACATAGAATGTAAAAAATGCAAGTCTCGCAACACAATTCTTCCACTATAAAAAGTTGTGAGATCTCATGTAAAACCAAGTCAGTTTATTTTATTTGGTTTCTCTTTAAGCATCTATTCAACAATTTTGTTATAAATTTTTATTATTTTTATCTTATATATATAATGACTTGGTAATTGCACGATATGATATTCTCTACTAATTAAAAAAGTTTATTTTTAAGGGCACTGTTTAGATTTACTTAGTAATCGAAATGGTAGATTATTCTTTTTTAATTACGGTGCCGTGCACCGTAATTAATAACCGGTAATGTTCATTCGTTAATTCGGTCATGACTAATGTTCCTCCGGTGAGTTTCTTCGAATCGATTTCGAACCTTTCCTTTTCTTACAACTGCGTACAGCACACGACGCCATGGTTTTTAAAGTTTTGTTAAAAAAACTGAAAGGCGGAGGACCTTCCCATGAAAATTACGATGTACTTAAACATCCGTTAAACGGTAGCCTACTAAAATGCCGTTAATAGAAATTAAGGGCTCATACTTCGAGAGATTTTTTTGAGGTGTCTACCAACCTTTTTCAGAGTATAAAGTGAAAAAAAAATAGTCGATTTCTTGATCCACCCTACTATATACATAGTATCTAATTAAAAAAATAAATAGGTAAAAACCTGGTAAAAATCCATTCATCATCCATCAAAAACAAACCCCCCAAAAAGAATGTTGTAACCAATGCAATCAAAACTCAGTTACGGCGCCGGCGGACGGTTTTACCATTGTGATCCTCTTCTCAACATTTAACACAGATCAAAATATAATATCTATTCTTATCAGCTTAATATCGCTACCGCTATTTTTCAAAATTAGGAAAGTATAAATAAAACAAAATTCCGATTTTCAATATTTCATTGTTACCGCCAGCGATATACGCAGACGCGAGCAAAAGACAAATAAACCTAAATCTGCGTCTTCCTTGTCACTCTTATTAAACTTAATAAGGAAAGCTAAATTCTAACCTCAAAAAATAAATAATTTTATTGCAGAAATCGCAAACATTTAGCCGAGTATCCGTACGATCCATACTTAAAACGTTAAAACATTAATTGTAGAATATATTAATATCAAAATTACATCAATAACTTCAAGATTGACGACGTACCTAAACTGGACCATCACCAATAAAAAAAGTTTTAAAATTGCACAGGAATAAATAAAACAAAATATTTTATTAATACAAAGTTTTGACTAACACAATATGCGTATTATATTGTTACGTTTTTCGTAGAAAGTCACAATTTATTTAAACACTATTTATTTAACACTAATTAACAAAAACAATAACGATAAAAGACTTATCGAACTATTTACAAACGCAAGTAAGAATTTATATTGCAACAATTTAAACGCAACTAAGAATTTATTTTGAATTTTAGCGCGTCAACTGCACTTGTCGATTTATAACTGCCCTCTCTAGGCCACAGCCGCCGGCTTTTATACCTACAGCTAAAAGAACTCTAGAATAGTCCATAGATCTTTAGGTGCATAGAGAAGGTTTCGATTGTTCTCGTATGTACTACTCCATTCCAGTGGAACTCGTTTCTTCTCGAATCTTCGAATGAATCATTACGGTGTTTATTCTTTAATGCGATGTTAAGGTCATCCGAGGGCGGGCTATATAGTTAGGTTAGGTCGAGTCCACACCGGTCCGCAACAATATTCATTTTCCGCAGTAATACTCTCACGTCTACGCAGTAGTAATTTCTACGCCACCGCGAGACATCCTATCCAACGACTGAAAGAATACTGAATTTGGGTACGGGGAGTACGGGGTACGGTACAGAATCAGCGCAGAGCGACGCGCGGCGCAAAGCTAAACTAAAATTCTTGGACAGGCGGCGACGCGACGGTGTGGCCAGCTACATCTCGGTCAGGTTTTCGGCAACGAAATCGCCCATAAGGTTGCGCATCTTCTTATTTCTTTCAATCAACGGTATACGGTAACATCTTTTTTGTCTAAATATACCGAATATTACCGAATTAGTTAAGTTAATCTTTTTTGAACCATTTGAAATATAAAATGTTTCAAAATTATTAATTAATTTATTGCAAAAAATTTTTCTCATACTCATACATTCTCATACTGATATATTCATTACTATTATATTATTATGTATTCAGTATTCAAATCGGCAATTGAATTGTAATCGGAAAACTTCGGCAACATATTCTGCAGATAAGTAAAAAAGTTCGTTAAAATTTATGTCCTAAAATGCCTCGTTTCGAAGATATAGGATGTAGAAATGTCATTTTTATTTAGGTTTTTTTCAATATCTTCTGAATTAACGTCGATATTTAACGTTTATATTTTTCAAATGAGAAATTCGATTCCCATGTGAACACGCGCCACTTTTCATTCATAAATTTTTGACTTCAACCCATCATCGGAGAAAGTTAAAATAAATTTAATTTTTCGTACGATAACGACGTTATGACAATTTTTTAAAAAATTTAATCTAACATTAATAAAAATATAATAGTACGAGAGCTAACAACGTCGTGAAAACGAGAATTTTAAGAAAGCTGGGGTGGAAATCTGTAACGAAATAGCGATCGGTAGCGATGAAGAATACTGTCGCTTGCCGTTTAGTTTGTATGACCAAGGTCAGTATTCTTTATCGCTACAGATCGCTAATTAGTTACAGAGTTCCAGCCCTGGTTCTTTAAATATATCTTTTGTTATGCTCTCCTGACCAAAGTGCGGGCCGTCTGGCTGCCGGTAGGTTAGATAACTTGTGTCTAGCCCTAGCAGGCAACTGTTAAGCCCGACCAATCACGTTAGAGTTTTTGACAAACATAAATGAATTAACACACTCCAAATAACCACGCTAACCAACCTGATTGGTCAAACTTAATAGTTGACTGCTAGGACGAGACACCTCTGGTTTGGTAGACCGGTAGGTGCTGGTAGACCTTGCGTTCACTACTGTGCATCAAATCTATGTGTAGCATATTTAGTTTCATAAAAAAGTAGCGAAGTAATGTAAAACCGCATCATTGTATCTCTTCTTCTATTTCGACGTTTTTTTATGTAAAAAGGGGTCTCTTGCTAAAAGTCAATCAATGCATGTCATCATTGACAAAAAATAAACATGTTGAATAGATAGTTATTAGAGTGACATAATAAATTTGTATTTTTGTGCCAAAGGCAAAGGTTTAATACAAACTGTTTTATCATAAATTTTTCTAAAAAAAATTATGATTAATTTAAAAGACAATTATTTCGATTCTAACGCTTTTGGAATCGAAACTAATTTATCTTGGGAATGGTTGTCGATAGCGATTTTTACCGAAAGAACTTTTTTACGTAAAAAAGGCAGAAATATATATTTTTTTTCTTTCAGCAGCATAATACAGGTACAGACAAAAAGTTATTATCCATAAAAACAGTTAAAAACATGTAGGTGGTGTCCCCTATAAGCGGGTGTCATATTAACATCAAAATCGAATTTCTCATGTCAAGAAAAACCCAGATATCAATTTTCTTTCAAATATTAACGTTAGTTCTGAAATTATTTGCAAAAAACGAAATAAAAATGAAACTTCTACACCGTGTATCTCCGAAACGAAGCATTTTAGGACATAAATTTATACAAACTTTTTTAATTATTTTTTCTGCAGAATATATTGCCGAAGTTTCCCGATTACAATTCGAACCAACCTGTATCACGTTAAATGCAGTATTACATTGGTAGCATAAAAGTTGGGATAGTAATTTTAAAATAATTTTTTTAAATACTATTACTATATCAGATGTTTGAAATACTATTTTTTTAAATCTAATTTTAGGACCGGTGGGAGTACTACTACAAGTTAGTAAAACCGCAGAATTGTTCCGTTATGCGGGAGGCCTTTTTGCTGGAAGCATCACTGAATTATTTTATCATGCAGTTTTGTTGGTTGGTTACGATACAGATAGCACAGGAACAAACTACTGGATTATAAAGAATTCCTGGGGCACCCGATGGGGAGAAAATGGTTATCTAAGAATACAAATGGACAATAAATACGGGATAACCAGAAATGTATATTATGCTACCGCGGTGGAAATCTTGCCCGAGGAGTAAAACATGTTACAAATTATTTTTAAATTTTTGATTTGTTTATAGCGTACTCAAATAGTAGTATTTAAATTCCTTTATATTCTACATATTCATATCGTTTAATTATACAATATTTATTATACTATTACATATTATTATACTCTTATAATTAAATACTAAATAAATGGTGTAGGTAATAAATACAATAGTAGGAATTGGTGTTAAATGCAAGACCAACAGCTCCATTTCCTTCAGCTCCTTCCACCTCTTTTCCTTTCCTAGTAACAATTTGTTAATGTATGAGGAAATAGATGCGTGTAATGGGTACCATCATTCAAAGATATATAAAAGTACGATATTTAGGGTTAAAAGAAAAGCTCATTTCCTCTTGTTTTCATATTTAAATTATTTCTAATAAACTATTTTTAAAGATGGCTGCGTTTATCTAAAATGGACACAAAAAATTGTATTATTTCTGGTATATCATGAATAATTAAGTTTTTGACTGTGTTAATGATTTACATTAATTGTGTTTGATATGTAATAAAAAGATAAATAAATAAATAAATAAGATGCGTTTACATTCATGTCTGTCAGTATAAATTAATAGAAGTTGTAAGAAAGAAAATAATAAAAAACGTTAAAAATATTTTTTCATGGTAGATAACTGTGATTTTAAATATGACAACTACTTAATAATAATAATTTATACTGTTACAGATTCCGTGGGTCCACTAATTTAAACTCACGATAAAATACTTAACGAATTTATTATCTCACTTTGTACACACAATAACTAACTATTTATAAAATTCCTTCACCAAATTGTCCGATTCACAATTTCCAAACGCGGTATATTCAAACTTCAAACTGTCCAACTGTCGTACGCGCTCCTTTTATATAGCTGTTGTGAGTGTTTCTCGAACGTTCTAAAATTATCGGGAAGGTTCCGCCATCTACTAGTAGTAGTTGCTCGCTTCTCCGACAGATGGCGCCACATACACCTTGACAATATTTTATATTTTAGAAAGTTTGGCGTAGAATTTTGAACAACCTGTATGATTTACGATTACCATATTTATAGTAAAGTAAGTACAGACCGTCCAAAATAAAAATGTACCTAATATAGTTCTGATTTCATGACACTTTTTGTATTCTTAATATTTTTTTTAAGAAAGGCTGAAAAATATATATTTTTTTATTTATTTATTATCTCTGAAACTATCGAAATATATTTACTCATATTTTAGGAATATGTAAAGTAATCTGAAAGGAAGATAAAAATTCAATAATATACAGGGTGTTCCACTTAAAAAAACATCACGATCCACAAACACTTTTTTGAGCCACCCTATAGAAGTTAAAACAATTTCCTGAAATACATCCTAGTACATACTTTAGGTTTGCACTTAAACAAAATTCCCAAGATTTTTATCCTAGGAGCTACATATGCCCGACGCACTATTGCCGAACCCTGTACATAAAAGATTCATCTAAAGTATGATAAATAATGAATAAATATAATTTTTGTTACAGTATGTAAAATATTACAATTTAATAATTAAAGTAAGGTAATTTATAATCAATGGTTGGTTATTTATAACTACAATTAATTATCTATTAATAGGATAAAGATTTTATAAAAACATAGGTATAAGAAATGTTTATTTTCTGTTTAATCTAATTAATGTAAACGCGAATGTGAATACGAATATTCGTTATAGCCCTATAATGCATATCAGCATATCAGGCTTGACAGGATAAATTTAACTACTTTAGCTAGTATACTACTTATTACATATTAGACACAAAATTCTTCAAGGATATTACCATTAATTTCTTCTGCAAACCGTAAACCTATTAATATGTAGGGTATGTCATTTAAAGAAAAATAACTTTGATATACAGGGTGTCCCAGAAATAAGTGCAAGTATTTTAAGGAGTGGTAGATCTCGATAAAAGAAACATATTTTCTCTTTATCGATTTTCAAATAAGTCTAAAATAACAGAGTTTTACTTTGAAAATTTCCAAAAAAAAATATTTTTTGCTAAAATTTTGAGAACCAGTCTGTGTCCAACTTTTCTGAATTTTCTCACTTGTAAATTTAATTTAATACTATCGCCATATTATCAAGAAATTATGTTTTTTAACTAAAAACTAAAACAAAAATTTCGCGAAAAAAACCTCATAGGCGTGTTTCTGGGGTTGTATAGTTCAGCCCCATACCAGTTAAAATACTTGCATTTATTTCTGGGACATCCCGTATAACGTTTTTTGGAATAACCTTGTGGAGTTCTAAATAATTTTAAAATGTACAAATAAATCTACATATATTACAAAAACTCCATTGCCACATAAATTGTTTTTCTCCTTAAAGAATTCTGTATGAGATGCCGCTCTGTATTAATTTTTAAATGTTTTAGGACCTATATCGGTGCTTCTACGCGTGGATTACTCATTAGTGTTTTATGGGGAAGGTATTTATAATGAAAAATGTACAGCTGAACCAAACCACGCGGTTTTGGTCGTTGGTTATGATAAAGATAAGGATACCGGAGACGAATATTGGATCATAAAGAATTCTTTTGGCCCCGAATGGGGAGAAAATGGTTATTTAAGACTGCAAATCGGAAATAACTTGTGCGGGATAACAGAGTACCCATTTTACGCCACATACGATGATACAGACCGCAGAATGCAACCAACATCAAAAGTAGTTGATGAATTATAATAAAAATAATTATGACTTAAATATATAAGAATTTTTAACAATAAGTTTTTTATTGCTGGATATTTTATTGGAATATTTATTAAAAAGACAAATTATAGGGTTTTCAGGCAAGTCATAATACTTACTACAAAAAATTTCAGCAGTCAAATGTCATAGTTATTCACATTTTACTCTGTACATTGTAAATGTATTGGAAGTAGTTTTCTACAATAATTACTTGAGCACAAAAACGAAGCTTGCAGTATACCGAGCAATAATATAATCCCTAACATGTTATATGGAAGCGAAACCTGGGTTCCGTACCTAAGAAGATTCCATATTTTAGTGTATGGAAGTTAGAGATTAATATTCATATTTAGTAAAAAGTATAATTGTAATTAGTGAAAAGTATATTTAGTTAAAGTATAATATATTATTAATCTTTCTTTAAAGAGAAAACTGGCAAGTTTCATTACCAAAATTGTATGCGTTGCCAAAAATTCATAAATCTGATAAATACATGCGCCCAATTGTTTCGGCTGTAGGTTCTCCGACTTATAATTTGACAAAAGAGTCATCAAGGGAGTACGAAAATTTACCTAAACATGAACTCTCTTTCACAATTAAAAACAATATTGAATTCATAAACAAAATTAAAAACATAACATTGCATGAAGGTGAAATTTTGGTCTCCTTTGATGTATCTTCGTTGTTCCCAAGTGTTTTAATTCCACATACTTTAGTCTACTTGAAGGTATTAGTGAACGCAAATGGTCTCGACAACAAAACTGTGATTGAATTGATTGATGATGAGCTTACATCGTTATGTATGAAACAAAATTGTTTTCAATTTAATAACAACTTTTTTGAACAACGGGAAGGTACGGCAATGGGTAATCAATCGTCTTCATTTTTGGCTAATTTATTCATGAGCAGGTTTGAAATGGAGGCTAAGAAACAGTTTGAGTATTTTCCAAGAGTATGTGAATGATATTTTTGCTGTTTTTTACAAACATTCAGACACCATAGATAATTTTAGTTCTAAGTTAAATAATCATTTTCCTTCCATTAAATTTACACATGAAATTGAGACCAACGATAGATTACCATTTCTAGATTTATTAGTTATTAGAAATACTAATAATTGCCTGGAATTTGATATCTATAGGAAAAATGCCACTACACGCAGATATTCATAGCATAGTGTTGAACATATAAGATGGTTAGTTTAAATTTCTTAGTCCATAGATTACTTAGTTTTCCACTTACCAACGAAAGATATGAAATAGAAAGAGATTTCATCAGGAATGTAGCTGAGTGTAATGGATATTATCCTTCACTAGTTGATAAAATAATTAGAAAATATAAGTTTTTGATTTCTGAAAATTCCACTTTACAAGTGGAGAAAGATACGTAGAAGTACATTGTAAATGCTACAGGAAGAAAAATGAACATCGCCATCCTACTCGTTAGCGAACCTAATTTAAACGCCATCAAACAACGCAAAGATTGGATATTTGATAATAAGTTAGACACAGCAATAAAAGTACCGGATAATAAGTTGACAATAAAAAAGACAGGACAAGGCAACATATTCTCATACATTTTTAACAACATGATAATATTAATTAGCTGTTATCTGACGGAAAACACAAGTATAGCCAGGGCCGTATCTGGGGGGGTGTTTTGGGGGTTCCTACCCCCCCGAAATTATGGCCGAAATTTTTTAAAAAGTAATGATCATTAAGTAAGCAAGTAAGAACGAAACAAAAAAGAAGAAGAAGAAGATGGATGAATATAAATGACTAAAGAATACAAGGACATGTAACGCCCATATACGGGCTGCAGCAGAATTTGTAACCTTAGACGCCAACTTTTTAGACATAACGACATCATCAGCTGGTCATCAGCGACAATTTTAGCGATTTTTAATAGTTGATTGTGTGTAGTGAACTTTGTATAAACTTTATTACAATGGTAATTTGTTCAGCTTTCAAGTATAAAAGGCGCAATGATAAGAAAGAGCCAGAAGTTACGTTTTATAGGGAAATAAACAGTCCCCTACATCTTTTTAGCGGTTTTTTTTTTATTGAATTCGATAATTATTTTTCTGATATTATATGTACTTGATATGTACTATACGTCGATACTAGTTATGTACCTTTTGTCAACATTTTAATAGGTTTTTTTCGTAATTAATTAGTATGATACCACCCGATACACCATAAGCGTAGTGAAAACATAATATCAAAAATATAAATATCCCTTCAAGCGGCAATGTTAAGTAAAATAGGTGCTACGGCACTGTTTGGAAGAATGGTCACAGTTTTGTCTCGGGTGCTATTTGTCCTTGTATTCTTTAGTCATTGATGAATATACATTATACATCCTAACCTCATTTTTCCACTTTGAAAGCAAATGTCATTTTCGATTTTCGACTTTCAACATTCAAGTGTTTAAAACAGCAAAAGTTTGACAAGGACAAGATTTTGAATGTTGTGTGTTTTGCTGGTCATTAACGTGATTAACGTTTGTTATTGTTCTGCTATTAGACAAAGAATTCTTGGACTATGACACTTTAGTGGCAGAACTAGACTTGTGGCGGCAAAAATGGAAGCAGCTACCTGCAGTCGACCGACCTAAAAACGCAATCGAAACGATAATCGGAGTGTAACCAGTGTATATTTCCAAATATATACATTTTATTAATGATCCCAGCAACATGAACAAGAAAGAAATAGTGAGGGAAATGTATAAAAAAAAAGAAAAAGATTAAACGGCTCAGCCCTCAACAACTCGCAACCGTATACACCAGTGTACACCAGTGCAGACACGCACACTCACACACTCACACAACCACACACCTACACTAGTGCACACTGATGTTACTGCCTTCAGGCTTCATCAGTACGGTAAGGAACCAGGAAGCGATGAAACCGATCCCAAAACACAAAAAACCAGGAAGCAAACGATGCAACGAGGCACCGTGTGCAACCCAGGAGATGGAAAAAAAATGATGAAGAAACGAAAATAAATTATGGAAAATAAAAAGGAGCAAACGGGAGCCTAAAGCCCCAATTTGCAGCCAAGAACAGCCGCCAGAACAGCCGCGGAGGTAGCCAACAGCAACCCGCCGCAATACCCTCAGCCGTGGTACCAATATGAACAAGAAAGAAATAGTGAGGGAAATGTATAAAAAAGAAGAAAAAGATTAAACGGCTCAGCCCTCAACAACTCGCATCCTAGCAACACTACCAGTGTCAACAGCTAGACCAGAAAGGTCTTTTTCAACCCTAATGCCGCAACCGCACGTGTGGATGGAAAGGCGAAGTCCGATCACGAGCGTTCGGTAGTTGACGAGCGGTCGAAGTTCGCTAAATGCCGCATGTGCGGTTGCGGCAGAAGACGATTGAAGGACTTCCTACGTAACTCTACAGGTCAGGAGCGATTGACAGGACTTGCTCTATTAAGCCTACATAGAGAAATAAATATCGATATCGAAGAGGTAGTCAAACCGTTTTTTCAGGGAAAAGACCAGTTTATCCTTTAAGATTAATAATTTTTACCAGTTACTTTTTTAAAATTTTATTTTCAATTAAGATTTGAGTGTAGCCCAAAGCGATTTTTTTATTATGCTTTTTTCCTAGCAGCTTTTGTAATCTGGTCAATTTCCAGAGGCTTGGAAATATTCCAACGTAATACCTTTAGCTAAAGTTACCAATCCTACGGACGTTAACCAATTTAGACCTATTAGTATTTTGTCTTTGTTATCTAAGGTGCTGGAAAAGATAGTGGCTGCACAGTTCACAGAGTATTTAAATAGCAATAAATTACTACCACCTCATCAATCGGGTTATGGAAGGGGATTCAGTACGACTACGGCATTGCTTAAGCTCTCAGACGATATTTATTGTTCAAATGATAAAAACTTGGCTACTTGTCTGGTCTTATTAGACTTCAGCAAGGCGTTCGACAGTGTGGACTTTGATCTTCTCTGCGCTAAGCTTTCGTATTTTGGAGTATCAAAATCAGCAGTGACTTTTTTCAATAATTATTTCAAAGGTCGATATCAGAGGGTTGTCATAGGAAACACTCACTCAGGTTACTTGGAAATTACTAAAGGGGTCCCTCAGAGTACTGTTTTGGGCCCGCTACTTACATACACTGTATACTGCCGATTTTCATAACTTTATTAAATATTGCTCCATTCTTACTTTTGCGGACGATTCACAAATATATATTTCGTTTAAACCTGAACAAGCTCAAATCACGGCTCTACATATAAATGAAGACTTATTTTCTATTAAGGAAGTTAGTTATTCTCATTTACTGTCACTCAATAACAATAAATCTGAAGTTGTTCTATTTGGCAAAGAGAGAGCGAGTATAGCCAGTGATCCAAATTTTCGTATTAGTATAAATAGTAATATTTTAAAAATAAATACAGTATGCAAAAATTTAGGACTGTTTATCGATAATGATTTACGTTTTTTTTACCCATGTTAACCACTTAGTTAAAACTTGTTTCTACATTCTTAAACATTTGTACATGCATAAATTATATTTGGATAGTTTGAGATAAAATTAAAAATTAACTGACAGTCTAATTTTTAAGCCGTATTGGGCATATTGTAATGTTGTTTACTGGCCCGCACTTTCTCAAATAAATAAAAAACTCATTACAAAAAATACAAAATTACTGTTTGATTTGCTTATAATTTAAGAAAATATGATCATGTGTCTGATCAGTTCCCAGAGAATCTCACTGGTTAACTCTGGATGAAAGATTTCAAGTTCAGATGGCGTGTCTTGTTTAAAGTTAGATAGCTTTGGAATACCAGAGTACCTCTGTAAAAATTGGTAAAAAATGTAGATATCCACAATCGTTTGACTAGACACTCCAATCTTTATATAAGATCCCCAGGCACTCGACAGCACAATTTCAACACTCTTTTTCTTATAAAGCGGTTAAAATTTTCAATAGTATTCCTGAAAAATTTAAAGACTTGCGATTCTCTGGGGACTTTTAAATCAAAATTTATTAAACATTTAAAAAAAGGCAGTAAGATACTTAACTTAAAAATGGATGTATGTTACACACCTCCTTGTGCTTTCTAATTCTTACGTTGTGTGAATTCACCATACAATTTTTTAATATATGGTTTTTTGTAATTTTCTGTGCTTGCGTGACCTTAGAATTGAAAAAATTATTGTATATAGATTTAAGTTAGTTTAATTCTTGTTTATATGTATTGTCAATTTATCTAAGACTATAAGTTTAGTTTTCTGTCTGTAGCAAGTCAATAGAATATTTTGGTTTGATGGTTGCGTGGAAGAGCATGGTATATGAACGCCGCCATCTTGTTGAATTTTTTGTTACACTTTTCTTTTGAATATTAATAAAGACACTATTTTTTTTTCTCACTCTTGGTGGTATATTCTGACAGACGGATGTTAATTACCAAGTACTGTCAGAGTTTCTATTGTTTTAAGAAGGAGCGGGTTATGTTTGTGGTTTTAATAATTACTGCTTTTTGAGCAAGTGTGTGAATACGACCTTTTAAATTTAAAATATCGAGGTTTTCTATAAATTTCCTGTGTGTGAGGCCCGTGCTAGATATAATAAATGGTAGGATTTTAACTTCTTTTTGTTGCCATATTCGTTCTACTTCCTGTGTTAGTGGAATGTATTTGTACTTTCTTTTTCTTCATATTTCTTTTGTTATGTTGTTGTCATTCGGAACACTGATTTCTATTAGATATGTTACTTTCTCTTTTTTAGTGTTAACGTTATATCAGGTCTATTGCATGTTACTGTCTTGTCAGTATGGATCGTTCTGTCCCAGTAGAGTTTTATAATGTCGTTTTCAAAGACAGATTGCGGCGTGTATTTGTAATAGGGCTGTTCTTCTTGTATAAATTTATATAAGTTTTGCTATTTCTGATGTATAATACGCGCAACAAAGTCATGCCTTAGAGTGTATTCTGTACCAGTGAGTAGTTTACAACCATTTGTAATATGCTCTATTGTTTCACTTTGAGGTGGCAACGCCTGCAGGTATCCAAGGTTTGGTGGGCCCTATCTTTTATTAGGTATTTCCTGTAGTTGCGCGTTGCTATTACTTGATCTTGTATCGCTATAATGAATCCCTCCGTTTCCGGTTGCAGTTGCCCTTTTTGTAGCCATGAATATGACAGTTCTTTATCGATGTCGGGGTTGTTCATAATATGACAGTATTATCCATGTAGTTGCTTTTGGGACCATTTGTTTTTCTTTTCCTCTAATGTGAGTATATTTGAAACAGGAATATTTTCTGCGTTAAGATTTAATGGTGTGTAGTTAGCATCCGCTATAGTTACTGCTTGGTGTAATGAGGTATTTTTTTCTTTAAAGTATTTTTTTAGTGAATTAATCTGTTTGTTGTGTATTTCGTGAATATCTGTCAGGCCCCTACCTCCTTCTTTTCTTTCAATGGTCACACTATTATTATTATTATTTATTTATTATTTCTTTTTCAGTTTTAACTGGCTGTTATCCTGTTCTGGCCGGGATAGCTCCGCTTTCCTAGGGCCAGGCAGGTAGTCGATCAAGTAATACTTATTTTGTGAAATATTGATACAGAGGTAAAGAAATACACATAAAGGTAAGTATAAATTAAATTAATCTGCAATTGTTTTTCTTATAATATGAGCAGTGCCTAATATCGCTGTTTTTTGTAGATTTGCCAAGCTGTGTTCTCCTGGAAGGATATCTAAATATTTTGGGAGAGCCTTAGACACTACACCAGTAGCACCAATAACAACAGGTAATATTTTTGTTTGGGTATTCCACATTCTTTTAATTTCTATTTCTAGGTCTCGATATTTCACAACTTTTTCCGCTTCTTTTCTGCATACATTTCCATCAGCCGGAACTGCAATATCAATGAGGTAAGTTATATCTGGCATTCTTATTATGATGTCTGGTTTGTTGTTTGGTATCGTCCTGTCTGTGTTAATTGAATAGTCCCAAAGTACCCGTGTTTTTCCATCGGGAGTGTCACATACGGGTGGTGGGTCGTGTTTATACCATTGTTCAGCCGACATGGTTATATTAAGCCACTTACAGATGTTATAATGCAATTGGGAAGCTACTCTGTTATGACGGTTTAAATATTCTCTTCCTGCTAGAATCGTGCATCCCGATATTACGTGTTCTATCGTTTCATTATGTTCTCTACAGAGACGACATTTTGGGTTAGTTGACGTTTTATCAATCTTTGTTTTTATATAGTTAGTTCTTATTGCTTGGTCTTGTGCAGCAACTATCAATGCCTCGGTTTCACCTTTAAGCATTCCAGTTGAGAGCCAGTTCCAGCTATTGCAGCCATCAATATTATCTGACTGTTTTTTTATTTCTCTCTTGTGTTGGCCATGCAAAGGTTTTTTTTCCCAGGATTTAATTAGGTTTTTGTTTAAAATTTCTCTTATGTCGGATCTTCCGACTGTTGTGTTTTCTACATCTTCTGATATTCTGTATAATTCCTGTTGGAATTGCTCAGCTTTCCGCTGCAAAGACAAACTTATTATTATTATTTAAATTTTGAGACACTTCTCAACATGAGAAGGTAGCTAACGGTTTTTGCATTTAACAAGGAAGAAATTCAACTTAACCTATCAAATGCTTAAAAATTTTCTCACAATGTGGCACGTCTGGAGAATAGCTGCATTCTGAATTGTTACAATAAGTCCTTTAGGTAGAGCCAACCGTTCTAGATTTCCCGCAAAGCACCTTGATACGATTCCAGTTGAAGATATAACGATGGGGATAATTCGTACTTCTTTTTAACTTCCAGGCATGTTTGATTTCCACAGACAAATTTTTGATATTTTGCTATTTTTCCCTTTCTGTTTTTTGTAAGTTGGCACTCAGCGGGCAGGCAATATCAACAAGAATGGCATTTTTTGTTTGCTTTTATCGATGATGACGATGTCTGGGCGGGGCGATTGTAGTCAACTGTTCTGTCAGTTATTATTGGCCTGTCCCAGTATAAAACAGTGTTGTCCGATTCCAGCACTGCAGCAGGCAGATACTTATAGTATGGTGGAGGGTTATCTATTAGCCGGTATTGAATTGCCAGTTGCCTATGGATAATTTTTGCAATCTGGTTATGCCTTCCCAAGTATGCAGAGTTTGATAATCCTGAGCATCCCCCAATTACATGCTCTATTGTTTCACCGAAGCTATGACATACCCTACAAACATCCACAATCTCTGTATTTTTGAGAATATATCTTTCATAGTTCCTGGTACGGATCACCCCATCTTGAACAGATATGATGAATCCTTCGGTCTCTGCATGAAGATTTCCCTTAGTTAACCACAGCAGCGATGATGCTTTGTCAACAGTTGGATCGTTTAAGGCCGTAGGATATTTTCCATGTAGCACTTTATTTTGCCATTCTAGGTGCATTTCTTCTTTTCGTCTGTGGTCGTCTATAATGTCTTCGGGACAGTGAAGGTTAAGTGGGGTAAAGTTTGTGTCACATTTAGCGATTTTTCTCAATAATGGGTGGTTAGAACAATGGAAGTACTCTCGCATCTTTTTCTCCTGTGATCTACATAGTTCAGTTATATTAGTTAGTCCCCTACCTCCCTCTTTTCGAGGTAAATACAACCTCTGAGTGGCACTTTTGGGATGATGTATTCTGAATTTTGTGAATGTGGTTCTGGTTAAGATATCAAGGTTTCTCAGGTCAGTGTCTGAGTATTTTAGTATACCGAAAGAGTAGGTCAAAATAGGAACAGCGTAGGTATTTATTGCAGTAATAAGGTTTTTTGCATTTAATTTGGTATTAAGTAACTTAGTAAGCCTGCTCTTGTATTTGATTTTGAATTCCTTTTTTAAACGAGTATGGTCGATTCTCTTGTTTTGTTGTATCCCTAGATAATGGTAGCTTTCATCTGATGTCAGTTGGTGGAATAGTACTTCTTCATTTGGTAGTTCAGCAATCTTACCCTTTCGTATATGTATCTCAGCGCATTTATCCATTCCAAAATCCATCCTGATGTCATCGCTAAATATTTGAACAGTTTTAAGTAAGTATTTCAAGTTGTTGTTGGATTCAGAGTATAACTTTATATCGTCCATAAATAATAGGTGGCTGATGTTGATGCTATCCTTTAAGTCAGGTCTATATCCTGATTTACATTGGTTCAACAGATGTGACAGTGGGTTTAGCGCTAAGCAGAACCATAGTGGGCTGAGTGAATCACCCTGAAATATACCCTTTCTGATGTTTATAGTTGTCATATAGCGGTTATTTAAGAGTATTTGCGATTTCCATTTCTTCATGATGTGACTAAGGAATGTAATTATATTTGGGTTGATTTTATATAATTCAAGGACTTTCAAAAGCCAATCGTGAGGAACAGAATCAAAGGCTTTTCTGTAGTCTATGTAACCCATGCTGAGATTTCGACATTTTGTTTCGGCTTGCTTCATAATAATGGCGTCAATTGTGAGTTGCTCCTTACATCCAAGGCTATTTTTTATGCATCCCTTTTGCTCGACAGCGATCAAGTTGTTCAATTGGCAATGCTCGTAGATTTTCTTATGAACTATTGCTGTGAGTAGTTTATAAAATACTGACAGGCATGTAATTGGTCTGTAGTTTTTTGGATCCTTCATGTCACCTTTTTTTGGTAACAAGTAGGTGATACCTTGCGCAAGGAATTCTGGGAATTCATCTGGATCTCGAAGAACATTGGTAAAAAACTTGGCCAAGAGAGAATGGATACAGGTAAGATGTTTTAGCCAGAAATTATGTATTTTATCTAGTCCTGTTGCCTTCCAGTTCGAAGTTTTTACGATGCATGACTTAATGTCATTTTCCTCAATTTGGATATCCACCATTTCCTGATAGTCATTGGTACTTTCTTCCACCTGATCAATCCATGGTGCTTGCTGGTTGAAATGAGTTGGGTTAGACCATATATCCTGCCAGTATTTTTCAAATCTCTGTTGGTCAACATGCTCCTCGCTTGAGATTCTGTTAGTGGTATCAAAGTTTCGATAAAAAGCCCTCTGGTTTGCTTGGAAATTTCTATTCTGTTGTTTCCGCTTTGATGCTTCATTATAACGACGCAACCTTGCTCCCTTGACCTGAAGTTTTTGTCTTAATTCGTCTTGATATGTTATTAGTTTTTCTCGAAACTCTGGATCCTGCTTATTCAGTTTTGCTGTACGGATAATGACTTCAATTTTAATTTTGACTTTTTTACTATTGTTATTGTTAAGGTACTCTCGTATTATATTATTTCGTGTTCTTAGAGTGTTAATATCACTTTCAAGGCGTCTTTGCCAGGATGGTTTTACTTTAGTTGGTTTTGGTGGAATTGAAGTTCTTTCAAGTATTTTTTGGCCATTGAGCTCAATGACAGTAACAGCTGTCGCATATATAGCGGTGTGAATATCCGTGAGATTTTCAAATCTATGCAAATTACTTTGTAGAGAAAAGTTTGCATTTGTTATGTACCTGGAAGTGAGGTTATTGAATTTTAGTTTAGGTATTGAAGGCCTGTTTGATGGATCAGAACCTCGGAATAGCTCAAAGTTGCTTAGGAGTTTTTGGGTGACCTCTTCTTCTTCATCAGTTGGGTTGTTTTGACTGGGCAAGCTTTGTCGCGTTGTGTCTGTTTCAGTTACGTCTAAATTTTGATATTCGGCGACCTCGTTCATTAAATTTAACTCGTTTCCCACATCTCTACGTAATTGATCTATATCGGTCTGTGTAAGGTAGTTATTTCTGATTATTGTTCTTTTTCTGTCCACTAGATTTTGTTCTGTAACTTAATATACGGGATATCTCTTAAAAAATTCAGAATGGAGCTTTGTCTCCAACCTGGTAAAGGATCATCTCTACATTCATTTACGAGTAGGTAAGTCCTTATGACATTAAGATTCATTTCTCTACTCCATTTCATCCTTTTTTTGTTTCTGCTCTTCTGGAAGCCTTCCTGTTTATCTGTAGATTGGTTGGCGGTCCAGACAGTACAACAGTTTGATCCTGTCCGTTTTCATTAGCTTGAGTCGTCGTTAATTTTGGGCTGGCGATCGACGTCAGGTATAGCCCCTATTCTCCCTGGCGTATCCGAGGCTTTTTTCCTAGTTTTTTTCTCCATTTAAAATGGGTGTGCATTTTATACCTACTGCCAGGTGTATATATAGCCGCTCCTAACATGGAGTACAGACGCTATCGGAGTACCGCTCCTTACATGGAGATCCGTCGTGTCCTTATTATATTGTGTATTATTATTATGTTCTTGAATCTCGGGCTTTCCGGTATTTAACGTAGTCGCGGACTTAAGTCAAGCGTCAACGCTTTTTACTGTGTGTTTAAGACTTGTCGTGTAATATTACATGTGTGGAGGATAACTGTTTTTTGAATGGGTATATAAAGTTTTGGTGGAAGTTCAAGGCCTTTTCAGACTATCATGTAATGATTTTGGGATCAATCCTGTTGATGACACTATTATTAGTATAATTTTTACAATGTCCTGGTGCCACATCTGCCTTATTTCTTCTGCTAGAGGTATATATTTTTTCAATTTTTCAGTGTGTTTCTTCTTGACATTTTGTGAATTTGGTATGGATATCTCTATTAAGTATGTCGTTTTGCTGGTTTGTGGATGAGCGTGATGTCTGGTTTGTTGTGTGGTGTGGTTTTGTCTGTGATTATATCCCGGTTCCAGTAGAGCTTGGCTGTCTTATTTTCTAGAACGTTAGCTGCTTGATATTTGTAGTATGGTGTATGGTGGCAGATGAGTGAATATTTCTTTGCTATTTCTTGATGGATTATTCTGCAAACATCGTCGTGTCTTTGGGTATATTGTCTGGGAGCAAGTATAGGCATCCCCCGGTTATGTTCTATTGTTTCGGTTTTGTGTGTGACATAGTCTGCATTTGTCTGTAGGTGTTTTGGGGTCTTTTGATTATGTATTTCTGGTAATTACGTGTGGCGATGATCTGGTCCTGGATTGCTATTATGAAACCCTCGGTTTCTCCAAACAGGTTACCTTGAGTGCTTTCATGCATTGATGTGCTGCTATGTCAATGTGTGGTTGTGTTAGTTGGTTTGCATGTTTTCCATGTAGGGCTTTGATTTCCATTTTTCAATTTTAGTGTTTGTTGTTGTAATTGCATCAACTGGTATGAATGCTTCATTGTTGAATTGTAACGGTGTACCTGATGTTGTTAGTTAACAATGCTTCGGTGTAGTGGGCTGGTAACTGCTTTCTCTCTGAAATATTCTCTGAGTGTGTGTATTTGCTTGTAGTTCATGTTCTTAGATCCACATGAATCCCCTTCCTCCTTCTTTTCTTTTTAGTGTAAATCTTTCTGTTGCCGCGTGTATATGGTGTATTCGGTACTTGTTACATGTTGTTCTTGTTAACCTGTTTAGTTCTTCTAATTCTGTGTCACTCCATTTTATAACGCCAAATGAATACGTCAGACGGACGCTGCATAGGTATTTATTGCTTTCACTTTGTTTCGACCGGACAGTTCTGTTTTGAGTATTTGTTTTATTCTGTTTTTGTATTTGCTTTTTTAGTTGCTGTTTTTATGTTGGCATGCTCTAACTCTGTTTTTTGTAGGTATCCGAGGTATTTGTATGTCTCATCCATTTCCATATTCTGTATGATATTTGAGTCGTGTAGAATGTATTCTTCCTGTATCGAGTGTTTTCCATTTATAATGCTGTTTATTTTACATTTATCTGTTCCTAGTTTCATTTGATGTCTTCACTGTATGTTTCTGTAATATTGAGAAGGTTGTTGAGTTGTTTTCTGGTTGCTGCATAGAGCTTTAGGGTCATCCATATATAGCTGGTGCGAGATGGTAGATGGATGTGTGAGTGAGGATATTTTATAAGCATCTTGGGGGCGTTTTGTTGAGTAGGTTCGATAGGGGGTTGAGCGCAATACAGAACCAGAGTGCATCGGCTGAGGAGTCACCCTTGAAAAAATTCTCTATTAATTTGAATTGGTTCTGTGTGAATGAGTTGTTTTTTTCATTTTGATGTTTAGGGTAGTTTTCCATGTTGCCATGATTCTCTGCAGAAGTTGTATGATTTGAGGGGTGGATTTTGTATATTTGTAGAACTTGTATGAGCCAGGAGTGTGGGACGGTGTCGAAAGCTTTCTGATAATCTATGTATGCAAAATGTAGAGACTTACGTTTTAATTTGGCTTGAGTGTGTATTTCTGCATCTATCACCAGTTGCTCCTTGCAGCCCCTAGATCCCTGACAGCATCCTTTCTGCTCTTCTGATATGATGTTATTATTCTGCAGGTGAGTGTTGATCTTTGTTGTTATTATTGCCGTTAGTAATTTATAGGTTGTTGATAAACATGTTATAGGGCGGTACTTAGATGGGTTTGCAGTGTCCGTGCCTTTGGGTTTAAGGTAGGTAACTCCCTGAGTTAAAAAAGAGGGGATGGCTTCCGTTCCTTGTACAAAATTTTGAAATATATTCGTTAGTGGTTTGTGGATGCTTGTGAATGATTTTAGCCAGTAGTTCTGTATTTTGTCGTCTCCAGGTGCTTTCCAGTTGTGTGTCTTGGATATGGCAGCTTTGATGTCTTCTAAGGTGATTGTTACATTTGGCATGGCTGTTGTATTTATCTGCTTGTTTTCTTCTTCTGTTATCCATTGAGCTTCTCTGTTGTGTTCTACTGCTTGTGACCAGATATTTTCCCAGAAGTTTTTTACTTCTGTAATTGATGGTGGATTGTTTATTTGCTGTTCCGTTGTTTCGAGAGATCTGTAGAACCTTTTTTCATTTGTGTTAAAAAGTTTGTTTTCTTGTTTTCTTTGGTGGCTCTTCTTGTATCGTTTTAGTCTTTTTGCTTGTGCCTGTAGTTGTTGTTTTTTAGTATCTAATATTTCTACTACTGATTCTTCTGAGCTGATATCTGGTAATATGTTTTGCGGGGGTCTCTTTTTTAGGTTTCCTTTCAAATGTTGTGTGATGACTCCAATTTCTTTCCTCAGTGTGGCTATCTTTTTCTGGAGCCGATGCTGCCATGGGGGTATTGCTGCTTTAGTTTTAGTTAAGTCGTTGTTTTTATTCTTCTGTTCGTGGGTTCGCATAGTTGTTGCTGCTCCACAGTATACGAGCGTGAGAATTTCTTCAATGTCTAGGCAGCTGTTTGATTCCTCAATCCTTTTTCCTATGATGTTATTAATTATTGCAATGGTGTTTTTGATATTTTGTGTGTTTTGTGGTCTGGTAATGAAAGGTCTGGATGATGGGTTTGCTCCCTGGTATTGGGCGTATAGTTCATTAAATGTTTCATCAATTTGATTAGATGGTTGCATGTGTCTGTTGGCGGGATTGATGTTTCGTGTTGGGTGTCTTATCGACGATTCTGCTGATGAACTTTGTATGTTAGTCAGCATGGTATGTGTTTCGGGTGTTTCTGGTGTGATTGTTTGTGGGTGTGATGTAGGTGAAGCTGATTGTTGTGCTTGTGGTTCGTCTTCATTTTGTATGGCTTCGGCCGCTTGTCTTCTTATAGTTTCTCTTTCTGTTGGAGATATTCTGTTGTTTCGTATTATGACTCGAATTTGGTCTGATAGTCTTTGTTCTGTGATCATTTCCCTAAGTTCTGGATAGATGTTCATAAAGGCCTGATATAACTGACTTCTATATCCTGTTGTATTTTGTTGGAGATTAGTAACGGTGAAGTAACAGAGGAGTAGGTTTTTGTTAATTTCGTCGGTCCATTTCATCCTCTGTCGTGCTTTACCTGCTAGGGTGGTTGTAGGGCGTATGTCCTGCAAAACACTTCTAGCGGGTTCTAGTCCATTATTCGGTGCTGGGTCGTCATCTATTGCAAGCTGATCATCACGACGGTTCCGAACAGGAGCAGCTTGCCCTCCTGCCCCGCCTCGATTGCTTCTTACATTTTTTGGAGCAATATTTCACACTACATGGGTTGCTAACCCACATAGCGGTACCAGAGCCCAGTTGGCCGGCTAAGCCGTTTTCCGCTTTTTTAATTATTATTATTATTATTATTATTATTATTATACAGGGTGGCGCACCTCATTCGCCTCGGTTGATTATACGAAAACGAAAAGATGTAGAAACAAAATATTTTATGGGTATATGTGGGAAAGCAACGTGCATAATTTAAAATTATTTTTAAATGTACAGGGTGTGTCAGAACTAAGATCCATACTAAAGTTTTAAATTATAAAAAAAAAAAATCTTAATCTTTTTCTGATTGAACACCCGGTATTTTATTTCATTTTTGGATTCTTGGACTTAAAATAAGGTATGTATTATAAGGGTTTAATATGTTTAAAAGCTTTGGTTTTAGAAATATTTAAATATGCATGCTATAATAAAAAAAATTGTCAACACCTTGTATATAACTTTTCAGAATTAATTCTTATGCTGACTTTCAAGCCAGAGAAATAAACTTTACTAAAAATTTTGATTGCTTCCTTAAATGTATACAAGGGTAACAAAAATTGCTAGTCTATTTTAAATATTGATTTTACATAAAAACTTCGTTATTTCAAATGCAACACTATATATTTTTTTAGATACGTCGAAGCAGATTTAAATGCTCTTTCAAACTATATTAGGGTTTCCTATATCTATCTGACTCAGATTTTGAATAAAAAGCGATTTTTCAATAAAATAGTAATCAAGATGGCTGATGTCGCTATGACAATTTTCTAGTGACACTTAGTAGCTATTTTCAAAATCGTTTTTAATTTGTAGATTTTATTTAAATTTATAACAGGTTATTTTTATTTAATTTTCCTACAATAAGGTTAATAACTAAGTATTTATTATTTTATCAAGAAAAATGAAGCAGTATCTGCTGGCAGAAGGAATGGATAAGTTACTAGTGATTTTATTTTGTGGGGACCAAAGACATTATAAAGATAGACCGAACATCTCATTCATAAATACTCGTTGGAAGTGTTTCAAACATTCCAATGTGTCAAACAAGGACAGAACAGACAGAGAAGTCTAAAATTTCCGACCCCGGCAACTAGGCGCATTTGGATTGTTCTAATGGCCAGTGGCGTATCGTTTTTGGAAGGAATTTAATTAGTAAAGTAAAAGTAAAGTAATTAGTAAAATTTTTACTCCATATTAATATACTACATTAACACTTTTTCGTCAGATGAGTTTTGTTATAAGGTCTAAATATAATAAATATAATAATATCCCATATATACTTATGTTGAAACGTTAGTAGTAGTTTTCAAAAATCGCTCCAACGTCGATTTTCACTTAAACTTTCAGTTACTTCTATATAAAACTCTCTGTGTTACTTTTGAATAATTTTACAGGGTGACTTCTTAAGTTTCTGAAACAGTTCTATATTAGGTTTGTTGTTGGTGACTTTTCTTTCAATTTTTTTTTCAGAATATGGAGGCAATGGTAAAACACATTTTAGACATTTTTGTAAACACAGATGGCCGGAACATATTTTCAAACTAAAGTTGTAGATTTGCCATTCAATTTCCATTCCAGAAATACCTAGGGTTGTCACCTGTCCTTTTTTGAAAAAGACAGTCCTTTTTTGGAATAACTCCAGCGACGTTGCCAATAGTTCTAGACGTTTCAGCACATTAAACAGTAAACATGTCCTTTAATAGTAACGCATATATCCTCTGGTTAATAACATATTATTACGCATGCTTCTTTAAAAATAAACTATTAATTTAATTAAGAAATTGAGATTTATTGATATTCGGTGAAGGTTTTAAAGTCACCTTTTCTGCAAATCAAACTAAGTAAATAGGCGCAAATTTGAGATGTGGCAATGTCGCCTTCTCTATTTCAGTTGGTTTTTACAGTACGTAGTCAACCTCCGATTGTTTGATCGGGTTAAAATGCACAATGTGATATCTATTCTTCCTAAATCTATGGTGGGAACAATTGCTTGTTGGCCTGAAGGGTTTATGCTCAAAGATATCCAAATGGAAATTTCAAATTTGACAAGCGTTCCTTTGAAAAATTACTTTTCCTATTTCGTAGAGCTGATAGTGTGGTATATGAAAAACCTATTAGGCAGAAACCTGTCCTTGGAAGTGAAGAAAATGAATTTGTCTTAATTGGTTCTTTTATAGAAAATTC